CGAGACGAGGCCGACGATAGTCGCCACGGTCGAGGAGACGAGAGAGCCTTCCCCTAGCCACCGCGACAATAGCCGCCATGAAATTTTCGAACGTTCGAGATTTTCCACCTATTTTTACCGCGATCCTTATCCTCGCCTCGATCGTGAGAAGGAAAACCGAGTCGATTACCACGTATACGATTTATACCATTTATACGATTTGACAGCGCTCGATATTTACAATTTATTTATCGATTTCTCTAGTAAGTAATGAAACTGCATGAAGGATAAGGAGGTGTACTTTTTTTCTTTTAATGTAAAAGAAGTTGAATGTCAATTTTTTTTTTTTCCAACGTCACCTCTCGAAAGATTTTCTTGCGTACGATTTGCGAGCAGCTTCCGGTCGTAGAACGCCCATGGATAACGGTTTCCGGAACAGGCTCGGCCTTCATTCATGTTGTTGGAACGTTCTCGTAGGGCTTTCACCCTCCCTGTCCTGTTGGCTCGGCCTCGAACGTAGGGGGGGCGGGCAGGCGCGAGAAATAACGGTAACCGCGGAGTCGTTTTGTCCCGATTGCGTTTAGGGAACTTTTCCACTCGATGGCCAACGAAAGTACCGCGTGTGGCGAAGGAGAGCCGCCACGCGAGAGAGTGAATTTCGTCACTCCTCCTCGGCCACGATCCACGAGAAGGAGGAGGAGGAGGAGGAGGAGGAGGAAGAGGAATTTACATTCGAAAGATGTACTGTTAAGCGACCGCTCGAAGCGAAGGTGAAACGAGAGAGGAGCGGAGCAATCCGACGATCGATCGGGTTGAATGGGATGTAAAACCGATATAAAGAGGATCGATCGTCCGCCGCTNCGAATCCCATCGCTTCTTCGATTCGACGGATTGGAACCAGTTCCAATTAATTCGCCCCTCTCAATTCGTCGCATCGATTCGAGCCGATCTATTCGAGGATATAATTTTCCGAGTGCGTTAGCGGCCCATTGTTTAGAGAACACTGGAGGCGAAGTTGGGCTTTCCAAAGGGGCGCGTGGGCGGCGAGGACGAATTTTTCTCGCCTCGGCCGGGAGGAGATGGACGCGAGGATGACAATGCGGACGGGGAATCTCGCCCAGAGAGGGCAACGACCCCCTCTCCGCGTCGAAAATTTCGCCGACGACGAGAGGAAGAATCGAATCCCTTTGTAAATTAAATCAAACTCGAGACAAACGGATGAAATAAAACGAAGGGAATGAACGGAGGTGGAGAGAGAATTGATGATCCCGTTGATTTTTCAGGTGGCGGGCACGCGCGAGCGGATCCGAGCGGAGCGCGATTAAAAGTGAAGGCTGTTGACCACGTGGCCGGAGGTCATAGCGGCGTAGGCAGACGTTACTCTCTTCTCGTCTGGCGGAAGCGAGCCGCGAGGCCTGGGCTGCGCCTCGCTGAGCGGTATGGTAAGTGTGTTAACAACGTAAGCGGGGGGAACGCCCTCGATAGACCTAGACCCAAAACGCGCTCGTTCCATGGGCAACTGCCACCGGCACTGGGTTAAGGCGAAGTCATGTGACGTGGTGCAGGCACATAAGTCGTGCACGACGCACGCACACAACGATCCGCCGCTGTTACTTTCACGTGTGCGTATGCGTCCGTTTTCTGTCCGAGCGCGCGCTCCCCGGGGTTCGTCGGCCTGTGACCATCTCGCGGAATGCCACGCGGAATTGTTTCCACTCCGCGCTTCCCTTCGCTTCGCTACCTCCACTCTTTGCTTCTCTCTCTCTCTCTCTCTCTCTCTCTCTCGCCATCTTTTATATTGCATACGTTGGAAGATAGCTCGATCGTGGACAATCGAACCGAATTTCGAACGATCGATCGTACGGAAAGATGAAGAAAGGTTTTGAAAATGTTTCGAACGACGCGAAAGTTAAGAGGTCCCGTTTCGACCGCTCCTCGAGATTCGTCGACTCGCTGTCCCAGCGCGTCCAAACACTTTCCTTTCGATTATTCATCGCACACCGTACACAGAGAGAAGATCGGCGATTCCCGTCCGACGACTTTGCGCGGTTTCGGGCGAATTTGGAGCGAGCCGAGCACGGATCGATGGTCTAAACGTTGAACAGAGAATTTCCCTCGTTTTCTACGATTCCTGTTCCACATTTCAACCGAACTGGGCGCGCGACGCGATTATCCGCTCCGGGCGGCCGTCGAAACGAAACGCAACGATGCTTTTTCCCCCTTTTTCCCCCCCGACCGAATAAACGAATTACGATTATCGTCGCGACGAACGATCAACGTTTTCAGGTCCAATAATCCTGGGCTCCTTACCAAACTGCCCTGAAAGAATAGAAATTAATCCTCCCCTCCCCACGAAATATATTTTTTCCTCTCCTTCCGTTTCTTCTTCCTCCTCCTCCTTCTGTATCTCCAATTACGAATATTTCCAAACGCCAGGATCTCCGTTTCCTCTCGATCGATGAAAACGAAGGAAAGCTCGCGGGGAGCAGGAAATCGACAAGGTTTCGCTCGATCCCTGGACGGGGAGGATCGGGGCCGGCTCGATGATTATCCAGGCTCGCATAACTGGCGGTGGAAAGGTATGGGACGCGTATAGTAGCGAGTCCCGGCGGTCGGTCGGTCGGTGGATGTAAGTCCATCCTTGATGGAGGTTACTCCGGGCCATCGTCCCACATCTCCTTGGATATGAACTTGTGTCTTCGTTCGACTTGCCTCCCGGCCGGCCGGCTTCTCTTCCCTTCGCTTCTCCTTCCTCGTCTCCTTCGTCCTTCTTCCTGCCGCCTTCCCCTCCACGCGCTCTCGCGCCACACCACCTCGCAACAGCGCCATCCTTCGTCCTCCCTCGCCCTGTCCCACCACCCTCCGATCTTCCTCCTCTCTCTTCCCTCGACAGCCGCTCGTCTCTCTCTCTCTCTCTCGCTCGTTCTCTCGCAGCTATTTCCACTCCTCGCGGAATCCGCTCCTCCCCTCCACCGAGGACGCACGAGGCTTTTCTCCTTCTTCGGTATTCCTATCCCCCTCCTCTTCCTCCGCGAGGATTCACTCCAGTGGCGTGAGTTTACTCGCGAGTATATCGAATGCCTACATCGAAGGTCTCCCTCTGTCTATCCGTCCTTCGTTAAGTCCTTTGCTCGACTAACGGAGATCGGAAGAGGAGAGATCATTCTTTCGGAAGGCTGTGCGATTTTCGATTTGTTACGAAGATATACGGAATTGTTTTGAATTTTCAACCTTCTTTCTTTCTTCGTTTCTAGAGAAAGAAGAACACGGGAGAAGTCTGGGAACGCTGCGCGGAAATGAATCCTCCTGATGACGAATCCTTCTCGACTCGAGTGTGGAGACGAGTAGTCACGAGATGCGCGAGGTGTTGCGCGGAGAGGTGAATGGAGGGCTCGAATAAAGAAAGTTACGTCACTGTTGGCTGGCGAACCGACTCCCCGTCGCAGGAGCGGCACACGCACCGCGGAAAGTCGACGGACAAGGTAGCCGCGACCCGGATTACGAGTCATCGCTTCCCTTCGCACTTTTCTTTACGGGGTCAAGGCACTCGCGGTTCCGAAAGAGAGGAGGAGGAGAAGGAGGAGGGGGAGGGGAGGGAAAAAAGTCGGCGAAAGAAGCGGTCGGGATCTCCCCTCCGTCCCTCCGTCCTCTCTCTCTCTCTCTCTCTCTCTCTCTCATCCTCGATCAGACCCGTGATCGATGAGTTTTTCGATCCTCGATCTCGTTTCTCGCCGGATGGAGAAGACGAGAACCTGAACGAATCCCTTGTCCCTCTCGCAGATCTCCACACTTTTCGTTCGCTCGTTTTAAAGATTTTTCTTTTCTCCATTCATTCTCTCCGACGACGACGGCGACGACGGCGACGACGGCGGATAACGCGACGTCGGAAGCAGGGGGAAAATTTGGCACGGCTATAAATACACGAACGGCCGCGGGAGAAATGATAATAATGCGCGACGCATGGCGAAACGTCAATGACCAAGGATTCGGGGAGCGGTGGCCAGGTAAACGGCCCGAACGTTGAACCGACGAATGACCTCCGACAACACCGGCCTCCGTTTTCGCCGCCGAAATCACCGCGGAATAATGTCTTTACGGCCTCGTGCTTTCGACTTTTACGACCCTCGTTAAATGAATCTCTTCCTTCTCCATATACTTCGAGCTTTTCAGCTTTCGTGACCGAGAAGGAACGGAGATTGCTTTTTTTTTTTTTTTTTTTTTTTTTTTCCTTTTTCCTTCTTTCGTCGTCGTGTGGGATCCCTAAAACGCGAACGTTTTAACAGCACCGCTGCTCCGATTGTCGTTGGTTGGAAAACGTGATTTACGAACTCGGGCGTCTCTCCTCCTTCGTCTTTTCGAATCACGTTTCTTTTCTTCCTTTCCTCTCTCTCTCTGATACGTCTTCTTCGTTTTGGAAACGTTTAAATTTTTTGGAACCACTCGGATCTGGCATCCGACCGTGACCTCGAACGACGTTTATACCTGATCATCGTAAACCTAGGCTGTCCTCAACATCTTTAATTACATATACAATATATTTATATACAAAATCACGTGATGAGCGATCCGCTTAATTGTTTCTTCAAGATTGACCATGAAAAAAAAAAAAAAAGGAAGAAATAAAAATCTCTTCGAACAGTGTGTTCTGTTCGAGATGGGATTACGAGTTAACGATAAAAAACATCGTCGTTAAAAAGAAGAAGAAGAAGAAGAAGAAGAAAAGAACGAACGAATAATTATTTTCCTCGAAGAAAATTTTACATCCATCAATATCCACATTTCTTGTCTGATTCTAGGAAGGAAGTTCACAGCGAATAGGAAGAACGGCGTTAGAAACGGATTCGAAGGAGAAAGGGGTGACGATTGGCGACCTAATAAGACCGAGGGGGATATTCAGGGACACTGGTGCACAGAGCAGAGAGAAAGAGAGAGGATGGATGTCACAGGAGGAAAGGAGAACTACCGTGTTGAAGGGGGTAGGGATGAAGAAAGGAGAGAGAGAGAGAGAGAGAGAGGAGGGTCGCTGTGTGCTCGGTCGAAGACACGAGACACACGGCGACCGCTCGTTACATAAGTAAGGTAAAGGATCTCCTCTTCTGCTCTCCTTGAGTCGATCCACATCCGCGATTATGCCACTTTCCATCGACCTCGCTTCACCTCGGCTCGCCGTGCATCGACACCACGTGTGTGTGTGTGTGTGTATGTGTGTGTGTATACGTGCAACGGAAGCTCGTGATTTCCTTTATGGATCGAAATCCGGAGCTTCCTTGAAAAAAAGGTCGAATCAGGATTCCAGCCATCGAGAGAGAAAAGAAATCATTTTTCTTCTCCTCACTATGAAAGATCGAGAATGGAATGGAGTCGAAATTTTTTTTTTCTTTTTTTTTTTTTTTTTTTTTTTAATAAAAAATTGATAAGAATCATCGAGACACAGTTGAAAATTAATTACGATCCTCGGAGGAGGAAATTAATCATTGTTCCCTTTGAACTGGAAAATTTGAAAATGAAAAGATTAGATATAGTCCGAGGCGACTGTCACCGGGAGACAAAAGGAATTGTGTCAGTTTTTTTCCTCCGGAACACCTGGAGAAGAGGAGGCAGAGAATTATGCCAGCCCGTTCTTCAGCCCCCGCAGCATATTGTCCGGGAAGCTTGCCGCGGGAAAAAAAAAGGTTTATTAAATTTTTCATTTTCCTAGAATCAAATGATATTAATTAAGCCTTAAAGTCTTCTCTATCTATAATTGGTAAACGTTATTTCATTAATTTCCAAATATTTCAATATAATATATTTGCATTTCTTTTTTTTTTTTTTTCAAAGAATCTTTTACAGAACAAGACGAAATCGCGATGATCCTGATTCAAAATTAAATTTTTCCTGTCGTATAGTTGTAAACAGGAAATGGATTACGCCAATAAGAAAAATGTATCGAACTAATCGAACAAAACCGATACAGCGATATCATTCTATCGCTGTATTATGTAAAAAAGCGTGTTGCTTGGTTCGATCAATTTGTTACGTCCGCAGTTTTTACCAAACATTCGTTCTCCGATCTTTCTTTTATTCCTCCTTCTTCCTTCCTCTTCGCTCGCGATGTAAAGTTAATTGGCGTAGCGTGGTTACTCGATTTACATGAGTCTTAATTAAGCGACTACTCTTGCTCGTCTCAACGCGTACGAAATTACCTGCCTGTACGGAATTTTCGAAGTAATTGTTACGTATTTTATGCGCGAACGAGGGAAGAGATTGGACGGATACAAATCTTCAAGATCGTAAATTCGCCTTTTTTAATATCACACAGGGTTAGGTTGCGATCGTTCTCGTAATGGCCCACGTTCATTCATTCGATATATTTTCGACGAATATTACGCCCTCTCGATTAGTACGCCTCTGCCCGGTGGAAAAATCGTTTCCCGTGACCGTTAACGTCCCCTCGGATGGATGGGACGCGTTAGAAGTTTATAGTCCGGGTTATGGTTCCTCGTGAGATCGGTGATATTGACGAGTCGTTGAACTTTGCAATATAACTTCGACAATAACGCGACCTTGCCTTTGAACGGCGGAAGAACACTCGAGCGAAAAAAGATCTATAAGGAAATGCGTTTTCTCTTGTGGAAGATCCTCGATCGAGTAGAGAGAAAAATGCGATATTTAATTGAATAGAAATTATAAGAAGTTTTAAAAAAAATTTTCTCGGATAAATTTGATTTATTCTTCTTCGATTTTTCTTCAATTTGTTGCATTCGATAGAATTTCTCGCGGACAAGAAACGCTATAACCATCTAGCGGTCGAATAGTACAACTAAAATGCCCCTGGTAAAGTGCAACCCGATGAGCTATCGAGCGTGCACTTTGCCAGCTGATGTTGAGTATAGATACCTTCTTTACCATCGTAAATCTTTATCCAGATTCTTAATTTTTCTTAAGCGCTTAAAGTTAAAATTTTTTTATTTCGTCTTGAATTTCTCAGTTATTAAATGGATAAAAAGAAATCATAAGTCTTTGTAAATAATTACATTTATTTATTTATCAATTTCACAGTATAACAGTGTATACGATACGCTGAATATAGAATAATCTCTGCTCGTTTACTAATTAAGGCGATTAGTATGTGAGTGTGATCGGTAAGAACATATATTATATAGCACGTGTACTTTTTATTGGTCGTCATAATATCCTTTTGTCGCTCTTTCTTCTTATAATTTTTTTTTTTTTTTTTTTTTTTTTTTTTATATATATAGGGGGACGCTACCGTTTATCTGCTCAGTCACTTGCACATTTATTTTATCTCTGCTCGTCGGTAACACATCTCTCCCGTTTAGTACCTTTTATATATATATAGAGGTACGCTCCCGTTTATCTGCTCAGTCACTTGCACATTTATTTTATCTCTGCTCGTCGGTAACACATCTCTCCCGTTTAGTACCTTTTATATATATATAGAGGTACGCTCCCGTTTATCTGCTCATTCACTTGCACATTTTTTTTTTTTTTTTTTTATTTTTTTATATATATATAGAGGTACGCTACCGTTTATCTGCTCATTCACTTGCACATTTATTTTATCTCTTCTCGACGGTAACACATCTCTACCGTATAGTACCGTTTATATATATATATATATCAACAACTAATTAATTTCTCATAAAACGTTAGTTTTTTTTTTTATCTTTATGTACTCGTGCGGATAAGGCCACAATTAGTGTTTTTTTCCGCGTGTGCGTGTAGCACACTCGTTCGGCATGCGTGTGTAGATGCGTGTGATTTTTCTTTCTCTTTCTTTTGTATATTTTATTTTATTATTATTATTATTATTATTATTTTAACTTTTTATTATTTTTATTCAATTTGACGTGATTGATGCAAAAATGCTCGCGAATTTATATCGCTCATTCGCGAATATATATAATTGGGCTCGCGTGAAAAGTTAAAATTATTCTAAGAATAGGAAGTATATATAGGAAATGTAAAAATTTAGTTCATAATCTTTGGACTATAACGTAAATTTAAATCTCTTATGTCGAACTTTTTGAATCTTTAAAATTTTTCATTCGTTGTCAACAACTATGCACCCGAGCCCCATCGTTTTAATTAGTCGTTCGTTATACTCGAATTTTGCACGACTGTTACTGTACAATATCGCAGAGCGATAGAAATAGAGATAGGGGGAGAGAGAGAGAAAAGGGTGCAGTTTTTTCGCGCATGTAAAGGCATCGCGTTAATGTGTATGTGTATAATTGTTCGCGGCTTGTATGTGTGTATGTGTGTGTATGTATACGTGTGTATGTCTGTGTGTGTCTGTGTGTGAGTTAAGTTAAATAAAAATAATATTATCCATATATCAAATTTAGTTCCGTAAGAATATATAGGATCCATCTATTTTTTTTCCTCTCGTTTTTTTTTTTTTTTTCATTTTTATTCCTCGCGTTTATTCTTGTCGCGCTCTTTTCTATCGTTGTGTACAAAGCGAAAAGAAGAAACAAAAAACAATAACGTTAAATAACATCACGACAGTACGTAGCTTCGTTCCATTCTCCAAATATATATAATTTCGACAATTCGACCACATTAATAGTAACGTTAAGGCGATTTGATTCTCGAATTCTTCGAAGCAGCTTTCTTCGAAGTTTCTGCAACGCGCGAATATTTTATGCGCTCGTTCGATATTCCGTTTAACACCCTTTCTTGGTTCTTGGTTTCTCCTCGATCACGATCATTCGCGCGTTCGAGGGAGAAATCGGTAATAATCGGAATCGCAAATGTGACTAAAAAAGGCCTCTAAAAAACTACGAAGCTAGCAAGTACCCCCGTGTCAACTCGCTTTTCTCTGCTTCGAGAAAATACCGCGTACGAAAACTCGATACTAAATACCGAGAAGAACAGAGAGCTATCGTTTGCGAAAAAAAATTATCGCGGAAGGATATCCTTCTCTTTTTTTCCTCCTCGATAAAAACTACAGCATTTCTCTACTATGGACACGTACAATATATAATATATATTTCCTGAAAATATAATATCGAATTGGTAAGAGAAACACGGTAATTTTTATCGATATTCCCTGTTTCAGAGATGGTGAACAAACTTAACTCGATCGTCAATATTGATCATCAAAATTGATCGACTTTCTACCCTTCTCTTTTCCCGAAGCGGAGTCTCTCTTTGTTTCGAAGGCAAAAATCTTTTAGCGAGGATACATATTATACATATTCGCGTTATACAAGCTGGACACCATCGATCAAAATCTCTTCTTTCCCCTCCAAATTCCTTTTCCCCCCCTCTCCCTTTCTTCTCGTTCGTTTCCTCTTCGCTCGATGTTGTTTTCAAAATGACGTTTACATGAGCTTCATCTTGGCGCAATCGGGGCAGATGATGTCTTCGCCGTCGGTGATGAAACCGCGGCCGACCAACGAGGTCTTGCAACCCGCGCAGATGAAACAGTCGTTATGCCAATGCCTGTCCTCGAAAGAGATGAAGCGAGTTCCGCCAATGCCTGGAAAACGAATTCGAAACTGAAACTGTTTCAAATAAATGGGAACCTGGGAAGGAAGATAAATATTCGAAAAGAATCAAACGATACCTGTGATCGGTTTGGAGCAGGCGGTGCATCTCTTGGCGAACAGTTCCCCGAAACAATCGGCGCAATAGGGCTTGTCGTCGCGAGACGTGAATCGCTGGCCAGCCAGGGAATTGTTACAGTTGCTACAGGTGAAGCAGTCTCTGTGCCACGGCTCGTTCTTGTACGTTACCCCACCGCTGGTGATGATCTATAAACGATAAAATCTCTTTTCACCTTTATCTCTTTATCTATTTCCCTCGAGGCAAAGGAAATTTTCCTCTCCGATTAAACGGCACGTGCATTCTTCGAAAAGAATCGCATTTCGTCGAGTCACCGCAACTAAACGCTCAATTTAATATAATCGAAAACACGAGATATGGAAAATCTACGCTCGTTCTTCACCTTGTTGCACTTAACGCATCGAGTGGCAAACTTGTCCTCATAGCACGCGGCGCAATAGATCTCTTGCTCGCGCGGGATGAAGCTCTTAGTCCCGATCGGGTTCTTGCATACCACGCAGCAGAAGCACTTCTCGTGCCACTGCCTGGTCTTGTACTCCATCTTCTTCGTACCTGGAAAGACGCAAAAAGACCCGTTTTTCTTTAAAAAACTTTCAAAAACTTTTCCCTCCAATATCGATCGTAATTCCACGCGTTGCAATTGCACACGCTTTCAAAGAAGGGAAGGGAAGAGGAATGGAATATTTGAAAGAAAAGGAGGGTCGCGAGTTTGCATCGCACGCGACGCTCTTAAATCGCGTGCGGCGCCTCGCGTGTCGCGCTCGAGCTGATTCTCGATGAATTTTCCCGCGGCTCGGCAATAAAGGAAGGATATTCCTCCTCCTCCTCCTCTTCCAATCTTCTCGATTCGAAACTTAAACCGGTTTCGAATTTCGCCTTTCGTTCCAACGGACAATAATCCTTTACAGGGCCCTCCTTGGCCGTCTTATCGGGTTGCGAGAAGCAATTTCGACCGAGTTTCGTGACTTTGTACCGTTCGTGTGTCTCCACGCGATAGAGATAGGATAGAAAGTTCAGCGGGCAGGTGGAAAAAGTCGCTTAAAACCGGAAGATCCCCGGCGTAGATAGGTGTCATCTCCTGCAATGCGGTTTTTAATGTTTCCTATGCCTAGACTTTCTAGTCACGGCCGCTAATAACCTACATAGAACGGCTCGTTGCGCTCGTAGTTCGATTCCACTCTTCGTCCAATACTCGACTAGGATATTTATCCATTTAAATAACGATCCTCTTACTTTGCTCCCGCATCCGATCGAGATATATCTCTCGCACAGAAGAGCTTCGTTTCCATCCGTCGTGTAATTCCACCGTGTAATTCGAAATTGTTCGCTTCTCTCAATAATACTTTTCGTGGGCGTTCCACGCATTTCTTTTTCGCGCTCGTCGAAGCTCCTTCCTCTTTTCTTCCGCGCCGCAGTCAAGGGCAAAGTTTACGATGACTCGCTATTCCGAAAGGTGATCTAATAGAGCTGACCGGTTAAATAACGTTATCCAACGTGTTTCATCGTGAGTCATCGATTCTGACAACGCTTATTTTTCTTCTTTTTATTCCCCCTTACAAGATTTTCTCTATACTTCTTTTTCTTTCTTTATCGAAAATTGATTTCGTAGAATTTCCACCATTTTCGAATATTCGTTCGATACAGGACACTACATGAAGGGAATCAATCATTTGACCATCTTGCTGGGAATCTCGATATATCAACGCTTTATCATCCATCGCGAGGCATTGATAAATGAACGATCGCGGGTCGATCAGTCACCGCGAATTAGCCTGTCCCTTGTAACGCGCTCTCCTGCAGAGATCCTTCTCGTTTATCTTCGATCTAGATACCTGAATGCCACGCTCACATATCTAATTTGCGCACGGAGGAAGTACAAACGTTGAATCGGGTTGCAACAGTGGAGGAACATGTTTCGATAATTTTCTTTTTTCTTGCAATAACGTGGAAGAGCGATCAGGATAGGAAGATAGCTAATCATTCGAGACAGTTGTATTCAAACGAACTCGTGAAGATTATGGAAAATTAAACAAGGTTCTAAAATCCGTCCACCAGAGAACGAATCGTTCTTTAATAAAATTTGTGTAACGAAATATCTATATAATCGATCTTGGTTTCTTAACTTTTTCTTCTTCTCTCGAACGAGGAAGTTGAAGCTTCTCTTTAAGGAAACGCTTAATTTTCGACCCAATGGCGGATTCCAATGGTCCACCGTGAGTCAGGACGAGGCTCGTGACGTCACTTCGTCCAAGCAATACCTCCGTATATGTATAAAGTCTGATGGTCCAAGGCCGGCGATGTGGTAATCTCGCGTTACGCGCGTCGCCTTACCTCTTTTCCTTCGACCATTCTCCACGCTCTCTCCATCGTAGGCATAATAACCGAGTTCTCCATCTACGATTCAACGTAACCCCTCTTCTCGATCTTCCTTCCTCCACGATTTTCTTCAGAACAGGCTCGAGGGATTCGCTTCTTTCGATCTCGCTTCGAAGATCGAAATCGGGAGTTTTGCGCGGCAAGGCTTCGAGGAATCCGTCGAGGGCCGCGATTCTTGGCCACGCCGAGTCTAAATATAAGCACGATCTAAGGCGACCAATCCTGGATGGGACGGAATTTCGTGAAATTCGACGCGAGAGCGAAACGAAATTCCTCCTCCCGTTGAACGCGATAATTAACCGAATTCTTTTTAAATCGCGATCTTGCACGCGACGTTACGTGAAAAAGTTGTTGTTCAGCCTTCGAATCAGCCCCTTTCTTTTTCTCGCTCGAGGAAAAAGCGAACTCGAATTTCCACTTTTCCACCGAGGAAAATTGAAAGAAGTGGAAAGAAGCCGCGTAAAAGGAGATAATTCGTACGATTTACTACGACGCACGATATCTAGGAAGATCTGACATTGCCTCGAGTGACATCATCCGTATTAATAAAAATTCTTATCCGCTCAGTTTTTGAATTTCCTTTCCTTTCCTTTCCTTTTTTTTTTTTTTATTCTTTATTTCCTCGATTCGCGTATCGAAATCGAGGAGGCGGAGGAGGAATCGGGGATCTCGTTATTCGAGTTTTCGGTCGGAAATACGAACGCGACGAGGATAAACGCGAGTGACATCATTATTTAATCGCATCGCAGCGGATTCCACGCTGTTTTGCAACCGAGCAAACAAAAATATTGCGTTACACGCACAGGAGGGATGCCCCGTTTCATCAGGCGGATTTGCATTGCGAATTTTCCGCAATACCAGTGTAAACACTCGTGACGCGACTCGAAGGAGGAGGAGGAGGAGGAGGAGGAGAAAACGAATGGAACGAAATTAAACGGGTTACCGAGAAGGCTCGTTAACTTGTATCACGTGTGTCGTCGTTGTGCAGCCGGAAGTATCGGCCACGCTTTTATTATAATCCTACGACGCATTCGATCGCGTTGCTCGAAGCAGCACATAAATCATAAATCTTGAGCGCGCGATTAACATAAGAAACCTGTCCGTTTGCCTCTCTCCATCGCGCGATTATCTCTCTTCTCCAAACACTCCAACGCTCCAACGCGTTTCTTTCTTTACGTTTTCGATATCTCGTACGATGTTTCGTTTCACGATCGATTGAAAAAAAACCTCCGA